GCTGTGCTTAAACCCGCTGCGCCACCAGGGAGGGCTGCCCCTGGGGTTTCTTAACCAACCAGGTCACCTGGCTTCTCATCCCCTCATCCCACTCCAGCTCCTCCCCCACCCCATCACCATCTGGGGGCCTCTGGCAGCCGAGTAAGGACAGGACCAGAGGCATCTCAGTAGGAAAAAATCAGCAGTGAGATCTGCTGCCACCAGCTTTGAAATGCAGTGTGGCAGGGCCGGGGGCAGCTGGTGGGGACCTCGGGTCACACACTTGGGGCCTGTACATGCAACCAGTAGACCTGGCAGACATCAGAAGCAAGCCCTGGGGTGCAGAGGAGTCCCTGCCTGAGCCAAACAGGAGGCCAGTCCAGCCCGCATCCACAACTTCATTAAAAGCCACCTGATTCTCGACGCTGCATTTGAGGCTCAACTCCAGAATCTGGAGGCTCAGCTGACCGCCAATATCGGGCTCCCTGGCGGGGGTGTGGAGGAGGAGCAAGGATCATGAGTCACAGGCAGCAAGCCAGCCTCAGCCTCTCAGCCTCTCGGGAAGGGGACCCAGGCGCAGGCCTCCCTTCTCAGCCTGCACGCCCCCTACCCCCACCCCCACCCCCACCCCCCTGCTCTGCTGGGTGCTACCCCAGCTAGGTGCCCTGCTTGGATGCTGCTTTTGGGGTGCACTTTAAGATCTCCCAGGGACCGGAGCCAGCCCTTGGAGAAGCCCTCCCAGCCAGGCACTTCCCCGCTGTCCTTGACCTTCTGTCTGCTCCCAATGGCGCATTCGCAGAGGTCTGTGCTCAGGAAATGGACTCATTACAGTTTTCCAAATGAGGTCAGTGTGTCACTCAGGAGGCTTCATCCCTCCTCTGAGTTCTGAACACATACTCTTCCCCTAATCCAAACTCCTAACACAACTTAGAGAATAGAGAAGATGCTCTCCCCCCCCAACTCTTCTCTGCCCCCCTCCATTCTTCCCTCCTTCCCTCCCTGTGCCCTCTCCTCTCCTCAAAACATCTTCTGCTGAGGCCAAGGACTTCCCATGCAGAAACCTAAGGGAATGGACGTGAGAGCTCACTGTGAGGTTTTCTGTCTCCCAACAGGTTTTTCCTGGTAATCTTCACAATCCTAACAGTGCAAACAGCCCGGAGAAAATGACTCACGCCATAACCCAGCTAATAGCACGTCCTGTGCTTTGGCAGAGCTCAGGCTTCTTCCCTCACAGCTGCCATCAGAGTCCACCCAAGACCACGAAGCCCCATTTCCAGAGGAAAGTGGGCGATACTTTTCCTTGGCTCCTTACCCTTTCTGGGCAGGCCTCTGTCCTCTGTCCTCTGGCTGACCCAGTCAGGCCAGCCAGGAGTGGAGATGCTGAGTTCCGGGACTCCAGCCCTTCCCAAACTCCTCCACAGACCTCCAACGTCAAAGCCTCACACCAAGACCCTCAGTGCTTCCCCTGTAGCAGGGGACATGACTGCTGATTGGACACGCCTGCACCCAGCAGGCAACGCACTGGTCAGGGAGGCAGAAGACAAGTTCTGGTCCCGACCTGATGCTTTTTGCATATTTTCTTGACTAAGTCTCAGCACTCCAGTTGCATCATCTGTAAAATGGGATAATGATGCCTTCCTAGGCTCCTTCACAAGGATCGGGCAAGTTTCTGAGCCTCAGTTGCCTCATCTGTTAATTGGGGATAATAACAGCATCCTTGCCCACTTCACAGGGTTGGTCTGAGGCTCAAAGGAGACCGTGCCCATGATAGTGCTTTGTACACAGGAAAAGTGTTGTATTCACAGAGGCGTTATGAGCAGAGCCTCTCCCAGAGGAGAGTTATGCCCAACAGCAGCCTCCGACAAACCCCACCTCAGCCGAGAGATGTGAGCCTGTCTGCTGCTTGGGACCCGCGGACATGTGAGGACAGACGGGCCTCCTGGAACCTGACGGATCATCTAGATGAGGACACCCGCTCTGCCCACACTGCTGACCCAGCCTTGTCCGGGGAGCCGAAACCCCCCTTCCTGCCCAGCACCAGCAGACTCTGCTGCAGTCTGGCAGCCCTGTCTGGAAGGTGACCAGCTTCTCAGCCATTTCTCTCTTTGTTCTTCCTGCTCTTCTTGAGGTCTTTAGCACTTTCCGAGCACTAGAATCTGAGCTTCAGGCATGCCCCTCACAGGGCCAGGAGGAGGGGCTGAGTTCTCCTTGCGAACCCTGTGCCTTGTCAGAGAACTGAGTGACTTCAAGCAACTGCACCCTGTTCTGTGGTGGTGACCACAGTGGAGTAACAATAACACTGGCACTGATGTCACACTCTCCCCAGGATGCCCAGAGGCACTGCAGGGAACCATTCAATACTCTCAGCTCTCCCCTAGTTTGTGTTAAAATTGAGGAAAAGCCACAAAAGAAGTCAACATCAGAAGTGGGGAGACTCTGGTGTTCTGGGTTCCAAAAATTCAAAGGAAGGAACTTTCAGCTCTGCTACTGACATGCTGTGTGAGTATCAGATAGGTCCTGCCCTTCTGCATAGGTTGGTCTTTCTACTTCCAGAGTGGGAGCATAAAGCGCTCCATTTCCCTCACATGAGATGAGAGGGCAGAGGAGGTGGCTCCTGAGCGCAGCTTTACCAGCAGCCAACAGGTGCCTTGGGTCAGCTTTCAAGTGCCTTGAAGATGACACACCTATAGACACACCCTGAAGAAGGCAGCTCTTCCCATCAGACATAGGAGAAAGGTGGACACTCCCGTGGGGGGTGGGGGGAAACAAGCAAGAAAGGGTGAATGCGAAAGCAGGGGTTGGTGCTGGCATTTTATTGAAGCCAGTGATTTGGGGGTTTGGTCTGCAGCTGTTTGCCCCTCCCTGCCTAGAAGGGGAATGCGGATGTGGAGGTGGGTTTGTCATGGCTGAGCCAGGCCTTTGGGTTCAGTAGCTAGATGACTGCACCGCATAGCAACAGCAGCCGCAGCCTGGCCTCTCATAAAACAGGCGCAGGCTTGTCTCCAATCCCCTAAGGAAGAGCTTTAAGGACTTGCAGTCTAGGACAAGAGGAAACCCCGGCTGGGGCCCTGAAGCAACCCTGGTACTAGTGCCAACACGTGGCTGGGGCAGCTCCCACTCAGATGAGGAAGATTGGGGTGAGATGAGTGAGTACTCATGCCAGCGGTGACATGAGTGAGTACTCACAAGGAGCCCTTTTCCATCAGCCACTCCACCCCACCCCCCACCTCCCACCCTTGCCTCCACACCCAACCCAGGAAACAACCTCCCCCTCCCCACACCTCCCCCTCCCGCCCCCCTTTTCCTTTTCCCGCCCAGTCCGCCCCTAGAGGGAATCTGTTCCCGCAGCAGTTGGGCACTGCCTGCGGGCGGGCGGGTGCTCGCCTCCTACCTCTGTAGCCATGTTCCGGGGGGTGATGACTGCTCGGAGCCTGCTACTCGGTCGGTCCAAAAGACTGTCAGCGGTGAGGACTCGGGGGGCAGTTGGGCTGGCAGCAGAGAGATGGGGGCGGGGGAGCTGTCCGCGGTGCTGATGCGGACGCCGCAGGAAGGGGCGCGGGTGGGCTAGTGGGTCGCGGGCGTCTGGGATCTCGCAACAGTAGCTGTGCTGTCCGCGGTGCTGATCGCCGAGTCGCGGGAGGCGAGGCCGCGCCCGAGGCTCTTCACCACCCGGTCGCCCGCCGCCGTTGCTCCTGCAGGCAACCGCCGGGTTTATCTTTGACAGCGCCAGCGGGAGTGGGGGCGGTGGGGGGAGGAGGGGCCAGGCGCCTCCGCCGACTGGGAGGGGGAAGCGGCGGCCCCCAGACTCCCGCCCGGCCGGCCCGCCGGAGAGGAGCCCCGCCCGCAGCCCGAGGCTCCGCTCGCGCCTGGCCTGGAGGCCCCGCCTCTTCTGCCTGCCCTTCCCCCTAGTAAGAGCTCCCGGAGCTCTGCGCTAGCTACCGAGGCCTCCAGGGACTTCCAGAACCCGCCGAGAGCAAGGCAGGACAGTTCTGGGACAACATACCCCAGCCTGCGGAAGCTGACAGTCTCCGACACGTTCGCAGGCCCCCAGGTGCGGCCTCTTTACCTTTCCACCCCCGCACCCGCACCCGCACCGAAGCCCAGGCTTCCTTTTCTGCATTTTTTTTCTTTTCTTTCTCCCTGATTTCTTCTCTGTGTCCCAGAGAGGCTTACAAGGAGAACCTCCTCTTCCCTCTCCCTTTTTCACTGCTTTGAACAGTGTGAGCTAGAGGAGGATGCTGCAGATGTAGAGAATCCTTCCTTTTCCTTAAATACCGCGGTGTTTCATCCCCAGCAGTACCCTGGGATCCCTTCTTTCAGTTCTAGAATAGAGTTCTAGAATAGAAGTCATCTCATCTGTCTTTGCTGCTCTTCCTGCCCCAGCCCCACACTGTGCACCTCCTTCTCCCTCTGAAATCCAGCGTTTACACTCACACACCACTACTCACAAACCACAAGCTATGGTACCAAACTGATGTGATCACGCTCTAAGGATAGCAGGTTTGGCCCTGGTGCTGCTTTCCTATTTCAACATCACACCTTCCAGCCAGCTGACCTATCTATTTGCTTAATAAACAAAAAGGGAACACCAACACAGGTGTCTTTTTACACACCCATAATACCCCTCGGTCTCCTGAGGGAGCCGCCTACCACCTGAGGGTAATAGCAACGACTCACACAATGGGAGGGTGGGCCCAGGTTCAGGCTTGGATGGCTTCAGAGGTCAGCCCAGCCTCAGACTCCACATCTGAGCTGCTTCTGTAAAATGAGTACTGGACTTCACATATTCCTAGAGTCCTTTATTTTTTTTCCTTGACTTTTGTTTCTAAATTTTAAACATACCAAAAAATTGGTATCCCCCCTTATCTTCAACCATTGTTAATATTTTGTTACATTGGGTTGACAGATAGAGAAATAAGAAACCATGTTTGGGTAGATTTTAAGAAAGTAAATGACAAGTCTTGTGAGGTTTTATTTGTAAAAACCACCAGGCATCTCCTAACTCTCCTACCTAGCCACAATATTATTATGCCTTTAAAGATTCCATATGATCTCAAATTTTAGGATCGCTCATAGCTCCCAAATACAGCAACAGCAATGACCTCTCAGATCTTCCTCCACAGCTTTCCATTTTTAATAACTAACATTAATCGAGCACTTATTCTGAGCCAGACCATATGTTACATTTTTTTCATGTATTATCTTATGTGTCCTAAAAAGGACTCTTTGAATTGAATACTATTATTATCCTTCTACTATTTATTCCTCCTTTACAAATGAAGAAGCTGAGTAATTTGCCCAAGGTCATATGACTTGTGAGGAATGGAGACAGGACTCACACACTCAGAATGTCAGCTCCAGAGCCTGCATGGTTGTGTGATGGAGCCTTTTCAACGACTGCTTCCCTCCAGCCTCTGCTAGTCCATAAGCTGGCAGGGCAGTAGCCACATCCCCGGCTGCCTACTTCACAGATGAACACATTGAGCCCCAGAGGAAAAGTGACATGCCAAAGAAGTAAAAGACAGGCCCTTCACTCCGCCTTAGTTTGACAAGTTATTTGGCAAACAAACTGAAAATTGCTGTGAACCCATGGTGGCCGCCGATAATAAATGAAGGCAAAATCTGATGCTCTCTGGGTACACCACTCCAAGTTCCTCCCACTTGAATTCAATCATATTAATTAGATAATCATCTGTCTTGATCTGATGAGTGGAAACTGTGATGAATGTACCCATTCCTTCAAGACAGTCATCTTTGTATCAGGCGCTAATTTAGGAGCGTAGGATGCAACAATGATTAAACATACACTCTATCCCTATTGAACTTATGTATCGATTGGTCAACAATCAGTAGCAAATAAGTATAAAATATGTTGAGTTGTGATCATTGTTAGTACATGAAGACCTGGTAAGGAGAGAAAGGGTGACGGGAAGGTTATTTTAGAGCAGTCAGGTTAAGCTTCTTTGAGGCAGGGAAATCTGGGCAGAAGCTTGAAGGAAGTGAGAGAATTTAACATGCAGATATCTGACACCAGAGTAACAGGTACAAGGGCCCTGGGGCAGGGATGGCCTGAGCAGGCTCGAAGAATAGCAGGGGCCCAGCGTGGCTAGACTGGAGTAGTCAAGGGAATAGCAGTGGAAGTTGGGATCAGAGAGGTAGCAAGAACAAGGTCTTTTAAGATTTTTTGCAGGCTCTGATAAGGACTTTGGATGCTCTTCAGAAAGTGAGATGGCAAGCCTTAGAATGTTTGGAGTAGAATTATAACATTATATAATTATAGTTGTTTAAAGACTACTCTGGATACCAGAATTCTGGGGGAGGCAAGACTAAAAGCAGTGAGAGCGATTAAGTGACTGAGTAGTCCAGGCTGATATGAAGGTGACTGGGACCAGGGTAGTAGCAAGAGGGGGTGAAGAGTGAGTGGACTCTAGCTATAATTTGGGGTGTGGACAGATTTGGTGAGTGGCAGGAGAAAGTCAAAGATGATTACAAGATTTGAAGCCACAGCCTTGGAAAGAAAGGAACTATTTACTGAAGCAGGGGGAGATTAAGGACTGAGTAGACCTGAAAAGATGGAGAATATGTTTTGTTCATGTTTATGTTATGTAGGTATGAAGCTGATGTAAAAAATACATCTAAGTAGTGTAGGCAGTGAGGGTACAGGGGAAAAGAGGTAGAACTCAGGAGTCATAGTAAGTCAATGGTGTTTACAACCATGGGATTAAATGAGATCATCCATGAGGTGAGTAGAGCTAGTAAAATTGTCTCAGGAATGATTCTGGGTATCTGTCACTTCTAGACTGAAAGACAAAGGAGACTGAGAGACCAGTGAAATAGGAGACCCAAGAAATAGCCATGTCTAAGATCAAGCAAAGGACGTGGGAACGTGGGAACAGTCTTACAACTGCTCAGTGCTCGTCTGTAGAATAAAATGGCAACTGAGAATTGATCCCTGAACTTGGCAGCGACAAAGTCACCGGTGACCTTGATAAGAGCTGTTTGAGTGTGGGGAGTGTGGGGGTGAGTTGCTGACTAACGTGGGTGTGAGATTTAGAATGGAGAAGAAGCAGTAAAGATACTGAGCATATAGAAATGCTGCAGGAAGAAAGAACAGCATAGTGTCAGGAGGGAGTGCAGGAAGGGTGTTCTACAACAGGACACGTTAGAGCTTGCGTGTATGATGCTAGGGGAGGTCAAGTAGAGAGGGGAACACTGATGGCTCAGAAAAGAGAGGGTCAGTTGCAGGAGAAAACCCTTAAAGATGGAAACCAGGGCTTACCTGGAAGGGATGACATTGGAGAGAGCACAGACAATTTTCAACCATGAATACTGTGGAAGAAGCAGAATAAATGGCCACAGATGTGAGTAGATTAGGAAGTTTTGTATTAAAAGCAAAACCCTGAGCTTTACTCCTTACTCTACTTCTACTAGCCAGAGACTATTCATGCAACATGACTTTTCTCAACAAGTACATTCACCCTTAGGAGTAGAAGCCTTGCTGTGTGCCCAGCACGGTGCCAGCACTGAGCTGCACAGCCCAGAGTTCACCTTCCCATCAAAGCTACAGGACCAGGAATCTCTAGTGAATCTTGAGATCACCCAGGCAAGGATGAACAATTCCTTTTAATATTCAACTCTTCTAACTGGTAAGAGACTTTAACAACTTGAGCCTTTTATCACTACATTGCCTCGAGGGTTGTTATAACAACCTTGACAGACTTCAAGTCTTGGAGGCAACACATTGGAGGCCATGGAGAGAGATCTACTTTAGATGGGGTGCATTCCCTGTGCAGGCTCCTGCCAGTGGTGGGATGCTACAGAGTGGGGTGTTCCCACACTCTGGTCATTTGGACCTGAACTCTCCAGGCAGGAGAAGATATTGAGATTTAATCTGACTATTCATTATCACTCAGCTGCCTTGGGACAATCCATTCCTATGCAAGAGTCTAGTTCTTTGATGTTTTTGTCATAAATTAATGAGTTCGCCCACAAAATAACATCAAAGAATAGCTACTAACTAATTCACTATTATCATCCTCCAATCTGCGGTTGCATTGGAAAATCTTCCCAAAAAGGACCACAGCTGGAAAAAAAAAAAAAACAACTGAAAGATTTGGAAATCATGATACCTGGAAAGAGATGAGAGAGAAATGAACTCCTGCAGACTGCAGAGGAGACAGGGAAAGAGCGAGCAAGTCTCGGGAAAATGAAGAAAAAGCAGGGGAAACGAGCTTCTCAGCACTTGGGTCTGAAAGGAAAACAGCTGCATGAGCGCTTGAGGGGGAAATTGTGGTGTGGAGTGTCTTAAGCAGTGTCATCTCCGAACACATTGTGGGGCCAGGAGGAAGTGTGTGGTAGGAAATAAGTCCCTGGAGGCAGATGGCTTGTGTTTCAACCTCTGCCTCTGCTATTTACTATGTGATCATCAGGAAGTCTGATCTGTAAGTGGTGGCAGTAATTCTCCCTCCCCAGATTTGATGCCTCCAAATATAAGAAGCTTTCTCTAGATATTAGCCGACCCTTCCAAATCTGGTCTTTCAGGAGGAAAACAGGAAACGATTTATGAAGATGCCTTGCTGAAGAGCTCCCCACAGTGACTTTCTTCCAAGCCCACCAAGATTTCCTAAAACACAAAGACCAGCAGACATGCTTCATTTACCTCAGCGAGCTGTTATGGAACACCCACTGGGTGCAAGACAGAAAGATAAGAGTGGGCTGTTTCCAGCCCACCAAGGACACCAAAATATTATCGTGACCAGCTCTGTAGTTAATGCTAAAGTAGAGAGATTCCTCACGGT